GGGATTTGTCATTATCCAGAAGAGACTGTTGAACAAGAGCACAAGGAACTCTAACATTAGGGCGCAGAGTCATGGGTAGAGGTAACAGTCATCCAGGGGACTGTGTGGCTACTGGAGATAGAAAAAAAGCTGCTTCCCCTTTGTTGGCCATGTTTTGTCCACTGGCAATCCTGGAGAGAGCCGTGAAGGACCTAGCTGAGTCTGCAGCCTCTATTAGGCAGGAAATATTCAGAAGTGAGTTCAGTCAGCCCTCTCCATGGGAAAACTTGCTCCAGAGGGACCTTGGCACTGACTGAAAGAGTTGGCAGTGCGGGCGTTTGGAGTATACTGAAATTGTGGAAAAGAGAGAGCTTAGTGATTTTTAAGCTAGATATTTCCATGGTAGGAGGGCATCCTACAGAGAACACATCTTCACCATAGTTACCAACTCTGCTGTCTTCTCTGGGAGGCTGGAGAAGGTTGCATCTTCACATCCTGTTAGGTTGTCTTAATGTTGCAAAAGAGTTTGCAGTTGAGTCTGTTTTCAAGTGGCAACTGATCCTCCATAGAGCTGAGATGCTTCTCGGTGATCTGTGATGCAATTTTTGTACATCCTGTCTGAAGAGGAAAATGTCTACCTTCACTTCTGGTTTCGTAGTTAGGGTGCTTTGGCAAACTGAGGTTTTCTCTAAGACCTGTAGTGTGCTCTGAGTTAGGAGTGGTAGGTTCTCCCTCTGCCATTGCTAGAGGTCTGCCATCTTTGTCAAGCTTTGCACTCGCTTCGAAGGCTCGTTTTGATGGAGTCATGGTTCATAAAGCAGATCTTTGAATTCAGGTGTATGTAGGGTTTCTGAAAAACAGTTTCACCGCAGGAAACCTTTGCAGGATTGCATATAGGATATAGTCAGAGTGGCGCTCCCACTACCCACATCCTGCAACAGACTAGTGGGCCCATCCTGTCACTCTGCACTCTCCCCCTATCGGCATGTTTTTTGTTAGCACATATGCCAAATGCTGGGTTGAATGAACTCCCGTGTATATGTTGAGCCCAAGAGAAGCTGGGTAAAAAATGATGGTAATGGACACTGACATAACTGAATGGAAGTAATTATAGTTTAGCTTTAAGGGCTGGTTCACCCCAGATGCAGTCCAGTGTGTTTTTTTTGCTGCATAAAAAATGCATGCACAATGTTTTCCAAGTATTCCAACGGCCCTAGTTCACACCAGTGCAGTCAGTTCCAGTCAGTTTATGGTACAGAAAAAAAGTAGAACATGCTGCTTTTTTTCTGCACAGAACTGTACTGTAACACAGCAAAACACATCAGAAATGCACCAGAACAGAGTATGGTGTGAACTGTAAGCAAAAACGCATCCAGAATACATTCAGAGTGTATTTTTGTGGAGTGAACTGGCCCTTAGGGAAACCAGAGTAGTGTGGTACAGTAATTTCTACACAAAGTTAAAAAAAGAACACTAAAATGCATTTTTTTGTATAAAACATATTTTACTTTATACATATTCAACATATTACATGTCTCTCATGATCTCTGAAGCGGAGAGTACAGAAAACACATATGTTGCCTCGTCTTACATTGCATTTGTTGCAATAACGACATTTTGTCATGTAGGAGAGCATGCTAAATAAGTATGCCCTCTTCATTGCTTGTTTGAACAGTATAAAAATAATGTACAAAAATAAATTCTGAATAGCAATGTTCATAGAAGGTTACTTCACACATATGAAGAAATACAGTAAATCATTCACAAGTTCATTGTAGTTTATTCAGAAGAGTATCCGTTCTAGGCTGTTTGAAGAACATATTGTACTGGTGGTAAATTTGTGAATTAAATTAGTAGCTGTAAATTTCAGTCTATTTTATGTACTGGTCACATGACTGAGGTGGCATCACAGTAATATTCGTTTGGTATTTGGTTTATTGGTTTTATTGGTTTAGCAGACAAAAAGTAAGGTTTTCATTTCATGTATAAAAAAAAAAATCACAATGGAAGACTTGCATTTATACTTAGTCTATTCTACTCAGAAATCTGTACATGTATATAAAAAATGCATTTTATTATACAAAAAAAACAAAACATTAATGGATAACACATTGATTAACTTTGAAGTTACCTCAGTGCAAAATGCACATTGTCATCAAATGAACAGAGCTTCAGCCCATGGCCAAAGGCGGAAATACAGCTTATACTGATAACAGTATTATCAGAACTAACCAAGCTCCTTCTGTCAAAAGATAAGGGGCATCTTTATAAAGCAGTGAATGTGACATTCAGCAAACATTGACTGCAGGTGTATCAATTTAAAACAAACGACTGCACTAGGATACACATGCTGTAAATGTTAAATGAATGTCCTATTTATTAAACTTTATACGCATACCCCAAAATCAACATCTTCAACCTGTCTTCATTATTTAAAATACCCTGGAAAATACTTCTGGCCTGGCCACCCATGGACTTTTGCAGACATAAGGGCAGCTGGATTTGTGACAGGAAGGGATTTTTTTTTACTAAAAGTGGAACGTACAAATTCTGGTGCAGCTCTGCATAAAACCAATTAGCTTCCAGCTTTTACTTTCAAAGCTTAAGCAAGCTGAAGTTAGACACAGATTGGCTACCATGCACAGGCGCACCAGATTTTGCACTCTGTAGTTTTATTAAATCAACCCCAAAGAGTCATACATCAATATTGCAAGTAAAAAAAAAAAAAACAGCCTTTTGGCATTCAAGATGAACAGTTGGGTCATAAATGACAAAGCAGTAGTGGCCATCCAAGGACTACATACAGTACATGGAGTCTTGTGCATGTTTATTAGCGGACCGTCTTTTCACCCTGTTATTTGGCGATCTGTTGTGACTGGCTACCATTTACCATTTACACATACAGTACTTGGCATGTCCTTGCTAAATGTATCTAAAATGCCTGTGGTGCTTAACATAAATACAGAACAGAGGCCTTTCATATTATTATTGCAAAAAAATGGAGCTGATTACCAGTGTATGACACATGTCTTTTAACTGACATTGCAGAAGAGGCTGGTTGGATAATTATTTCAGACCTGGCAAATACAGGTTTCATCCGATGATGCGCTCTGAAGTTGACTGTTGCAATTGGTTACACTTACCAGTTTGTTATCTAACATCAACCTTGTATCAAACTCCAGATATCTAATTAAGGGCATTCCTCTTTGCATAGTTTGAAAATTACCCTAGTTATTTCCTTCATATGTTGTGCACAACACATAATTACTAAAAAAAGAAAAAGAAAAGTAAGCTTCCAGATACATAATCAGTGTAGAGACTATGCAGCAATTCAAAGCTGATGAAAGGGTATAATCTCCACTCACTGTTCTGAATGATGAATCCGTATTTACACAACAGCTCCTTTAATTTGATCAATGATCTTTTACTGTCCAGAGAACATTAAAACTGAACTGAGTTAAATCAAGTCTCCCACAAGTGCTAGTGGACTTGGAGGTTCCACTTTTTTTTTCTTTGGAAAGTCGTCAAGGAACTTACAAGGAGTGCAGCTGGGAGGGAGGACTTATTCTGTCATTCACATGGCATCAGCAGATGGTATGTCCAGATTACTGTTAACAGGGAAGTGTCAAGCAAAAGAGTGGCTGGGAGTGCTACAGCTATACCTGATAAAAAAACTGAAGTCATGAGTAAGTATGCCCTGGCTTTCCTATCCATTTTAACTGAGATGTACCTTTTTTAACAGTTACCTTTATTTTTCAATATTTCACATATCTGTGCTTGTTATTAAAAATACATTGCCACCTACTGCAATGCTTGAGTTATGTAAATAAAGCAAAACACAGAAGAAAGTCTACTGTACATAATTAAAATAAAAGTAGAGTAATCAGCAATTACATTCTCAATTCCTCTCATGAATTATACTACATCTGGCTTTTTATGTAAGAGTTGCAGGGCTTTCAACTTATGTTAGATTATCACTGTAGACATAATAGAAAGCTACCATGCACATGGCAGTGATCTATAAAAGGAAGGACGACTCATGAAGTAAGTTCAGCCTTCTGTCTGGGCATATAATAAAGTGCTGCAAACCCATGTCAGCCAAATAAATGTAATAGGATGTTTTCACAAAAACAAGTGTTAAAAAAAACCAAAAGACTGCTGAACTTAAGAACCATTGGAACCATTCTGTTGCTTCCAACTATGGCTTGACAAGTTGCAAAGGATAGCACTACAGTTTACTTCTGTGCTTTTTCAAGGGATAAAAAACAATTTCATACATAGGATCTGATATTCTAGAAATATGGTGTAACTAGGTGACAGGTAGCATCTACGTTGGATCACTTTACTTCACATGGGTTTGTTATGGCAGTGTAGTCATTAAGTATACAATCTTATAAGGAGAATAATACATTCTCCTGTGTCTATACATCATAGATAGTTGCAGTCTTTGGGGCAAAGACAAACTACCATGTTTATTTATATTTACACCTCTTTACATTTTGATCATTAGTGCTTACTTTATACAGGCAGCAAAGCTATTTGCCGCTTGAGTTTATTCTAGATTTCCTTGAAATATTATTCTTATGCTTACACCTTCTTGTTAATTCTACCTTCGATGAGCATAGACATTCTTCATTTGAACTGTAAAGAAATGTTACTCTTCTCACAATAGCCTTTTTTAAGAGGCTTTCACCTACTAGATTCAACGTTTGATCAATACAAAGACTTACCAAGTGTAGTCCTAGTAAGTGATCATTCTGAATCTTTAAAATGGTCTGCATATTCTACCTTTCCCAGTAAAGGGCCTGACTTTCACCTACAATTAAACTGGTAATGCTAAGCTGGTTAAGGCATGCTGTAGCTCATTCAGTTTTCCCTCAGCTGAAGACTGCTAAAAGTAGGCCGTTTAAAGCTACTGACCTCACAGATGGAGAGGTAACAGAAGAAATTGTCCCCTTTGAGTAGTAAACATACAGTGAAGTAGGTGTGAGTTTATTTTGGAAACCTGCTGTCTCCATTTCTTATGTTCTTTGCGAGTCACTCTTGACAAACAAGCGGCTGTGCCAATAGTCCGGATTGTCAAAGGCACAGTCCTTTACTTCCAGTTCTCGAAGGGGTTGAATGTACCCTTTCTGTAGTGCCTCTCTGTGGCATGTTTGTGGGATCAGTTTGGGTTTGTCCAAGGACTTGGGGCGGCTGGCAATTAAGTTCATGTCCTCGTAGCCCTGTTTTGCATCTGAAGTGCTGTCCAATCTCATCCTGCTATTTCGGTTCATGTAAGTATACTCCTCTGCACCTTCACTGATCAGGTCTTGGCTATTGCTTCTTCTCTGTTCGTTCATATATTCATATTCCTCCTTGTTTCCATAGTCATAATCATCGTCTTTATTGTCTCCTCCTGTAGATGTTCTGCATTCGCTACTTGTATCTCCTGCTCCTCTGATGTCCATGTATTCATATTCCAATCTCTCAGATGGCTGCCTCTTTCTGTTCATATATTCATATTCATCATCATCCTCATCATCAAATTCACTTGGGGCATGCATGGCGTCATAGACCTGGATTCAAGGGATTTCAATGTACTGTCCCTGGAAATGTCTGTGAGAACAGAAAAACAATCAGTTCTGACTATATGAATATGTTATGTTTATGTATAAAAGTCAGTAAAACTTTTATATGATCTACAGTTAATAAAATCAAGATTTATCAAAATAATTTAATTGCTGTCATCTGACTTGCTTCACTTACTGCTGTGTCTAGTTCATGCTAGAGCCCTCCATTCTTCTAAATGGCTCCACCCAATGGTACTTTCAGAGACAAGCACTGTGCATAGCAATCTTTGACCGTGTATTGTGGGTTGCATAGTAGCACCTAATGTATAATCATTCTAAACCTGAGCTCGAACACCTGGACTCTTTACAAGCACCCTGAGGGATATTTATCGGGCAAATTAGTGACAAAGCACAAATAAGTTTGGGTCACCTTCAGCGACAAGCTTATAGACCAGTGCATCGGTATTCCTGGGCAACCAAGTGCAACTGTTTGCAAAGTTCAAAGACAGCTCTATTACTGAAGATGAGACAAACTTTTACTCTAAAAGATATATAATCAAGAAGTAATCAGGGTCAAGTTTCACTCAGTCACAGTACGACTTTACTCTGGCTGTAACCTTGTAATAAATCTGTCTCACGATATGTCTTACTGTTCAGATTTAGCATTGCTTAATTGTGCAACAGAATTGATAAATGTTTCCCTCTATGTACAGGAAAAAAACAGTAATTTATCTGAAATATAGTAAATAGATGTGTAACTGAAATCATAAATATTTTTCTGAATATTAATTTTTTGTTATTTTTACTGTAAAACTATAAAAATCAGATCCATACATACCTCCTTGGCTGAGCTGTGGCATAATATACTCGCTATCTGTATCTGGTGTATCAGGAAGCAAGCTTTCCCTTTGAGAACGATAGGCACTGTCAAGGCGAGAGCGGGAACTGCGACTCAGGCTTCCACCGCCATATGACAAATATTCTGCTGTGTCCATATCAGATAAGGTACAACATCCCTCTGATGACTCTGATACTGTGCGACCTAAGGAGTCATCCCTTCTACGTGTCCCCCGTCTAGGAACTGGGTCAGCACGTTGCAGAGAGCCCTAAAAGCAAACAAAAAAATCAACTTTCTTTTCTAATATTGCTGAACAATTTCTGTACACCTCTATGGTATCCATTGACATGATTAGACAATTATTAGGCTATTTACAAAGAATAGCAGACCAAGCCAGATGATAACTGTCAACAATTCTAGCAGAAAGTGCAGTGCTCCCCTGCCCCTCCATTCAGCCACTTGGAGCAAAGAAAAATGCATAGTACTTTGGGGTACAAGGAACATGTGATTCGGTCCCCTTTTTTCCTTGCGACAGAACTGGTGCTTGGAGATCAGCCACCCAGGAACTTTGCAATGTTATATTGGCCATACACATTTGAATTTTGGCTGTTTCCTGATAAATTAGCCAATCTTTCAGCTGTGGGTGGCCATTTCAGTACCACCTGGCTTGTCAAATTTTGATTTGAAAATCGAAGGAGCCAGGCAGAAAATTCTCACCTGAACACTGACTGCAGCAAATCAAATGCAGTCACTGCTTGATTATTCTGACAGCCACAGAAGCAGAGGCTGTCAGAATAAAATATCTGGCAAAGAAGAGTCCTCCATCCACACTGGTTAGGGGAAGTTATTGATTTCCTTCATTCAGCCCAATAAATCCTAATACTTTATCATAACTAGGCTAGTAGCAATTAACTGTGGCTTTACACAGGGTGGATTTTCACCAAACTTCAAGATTTTTGTCAATATGGTTGAAAGATCTTTGCAAATATGTTTTGCATACCTGAATTCTATAGCCACAATGACAAGTCAATTTCATTTTGTGATCAGGTAACATTTTCTGAATGATTTATTCATGCATTTTATCACAATGCAAGAAATAAGGAAGGATATAGACAAAAGAGGTAACTTTTTGGAGAATTGTGATGGGTATTTGTCCCAGGTAAGTATAAGCAGAAATAAATTCTATACATAAACATAGCAGAGGCAATATGAAGGTGGAGCCAGAATGGGATTGACTGGTTACCTTTTTAGTAATGCTGCCAGTGGTTTGGTTCATTGGAAGATACCCAGCAAGAGAACTTTGCACACTTTGACTCTGAAATATAAAAGTATTCAGAAAAGTAAATTGCAGCTTCTGTTTTTAATTTTTTTGTTAAAGCAACGATACAAAGCCTGATTTTCAGGCAGATCAGTTACTCTTGAATTAATTGACCTATGTGTGGGAACTCATGACTCCTACACTCACCCATTGTCTGCTCCTATATCAATTAAGTGGTACAGGAAATCTAATTACATGATCCCTACCAATAGACCTTAGAGGCCAGTCAGTCTTGTAGATACAATTTTACCTCCCTGGGGGCACATTGCCAAAGCACTGCAGCAGGCTCTATAGCGGAGTTTACAAAGGCGAGGGGGTATAACAGAAAGCTATTGATGGTTTATTAATGAGGAACAAGTACTGTTTATTAGTAAGGAAAAAAGTTTCCTTGCTTGCCTGATCAACAGTTCCCACATCTACAGGGACACCCACAAATATTGACTCATCACCCAAACTCTCTTTTTCTCTCTCTGTATAGGATGGGTTGTAATAGCATAATCAAAAAGCACATTGTGTCTACTAGTGCACTGGTAATCCCAGTAACAATTCTCTTTCTCAAGGCACATATCTCTTTGAAAAGGCTCAAATTTGCTTTAGTCATGGCTCACAACCAACTTTAAAATGTATTTGTGTAAACTTAAAGGGAAACTCCACTTTCATGAGAAAAAAAAACATTTTAGTGAGATACTCCCAAAGGGAAATCACATCTAAAAGGATGCGGACCGTGCAGTTTCCATCATTAGAGCCCTGCAGGTGCAGCAGCTGATTGATAATTATGAAATCACTCCCGTACAGATTCACTTTGCACATGGACACAGACAAACAAGCAGCTACTCCTTCGGAATAACAAAAAGGTAGGAATCTTCAACAAAGTTTGTTAAAATCCTTGCAATGTACATAGAATGTTTTTTTTCTCAACAAAACTGGGGTTACACTTTAATGTTGTATTAAACCTAGATCCAGCCAGAAAGTATGTTCCTTTTACAGACCAAGCTGTCCAGACAAAGTAGCATGGTCAGCTTTTATTTATTATTTATATAAAACATGTATTCCAAAAGGGAAAAAACAGTTTTCTGTAACGGATTATAAAAGTGTTAGCTTGAGTTCAGCTTCAATTTGTTAGTCAAGTCCATTTAAATCTGCTAGTTTAACACTACTCTTTTCCCAGACTGACAACGCTTCTGTACAAAGGTGTCTGCTTTACTACTTCATCCAGAATGCAGACACCCTAAAACAGGAAGTGTGTTACTGGCTGGATCACCAGGTAAAATTAAGGAAAAAAAAGTCTAAGGCTACTTTCACACTGATCTGCCACAAAAACACAGAAACAACGAAATAGGCGTTTTTACCGCGCTATTGCCACACTTTCTGAGCGATTTTTAAAGGACACGTGACTTAAAAAGTGCACAAAAAAATGCTTCTCAGAGGTGTTTTTGAGGCGCTCTTCAGGTGTTTTCCATTGATTTCAATGGGAAGACATGTTTTGGGGGCTTTTATTTTAACTCACCAAACATGCCCCAAAGATGCTGCAAGCAGGAGTTTTCACACTGCACCGCAAGCGCAATGCCTCAGTGTGAAAACATACATAGATGCAGTGGGGAAAATAATTATTTGATCCCCTGCAGATTTTTTAAGTTTTCCCACTTACAAATAAATGAAGGGTCTATAATTTTTATCATTGGTGTATTTTAAATGATAGAAACAGAATATCAACCAAAAATCCAGAAAAAAAAAAAAAACGATACAAATGTTATGAATTGAGTTGCAATTCAGTGAATAAAATAAGTATTTGATCCCCAAGCAAAACATGAATTAGTACTTGGTGGAGAAACCCTTGTTGGCAAGCACAGATGTAAGACATTTCTCGTAGCTGGTTACCAGGTTTGCACACATCTCAGGAGGGATTCTGGTCCACACTTCTTTACAGATCTCTAAATCCTCAAGGTTTCTTGGCTGTCACTTGGCAACTCAAAGTTTCAGCTCCCTCCATAAATTCTGTATAGGCTACTCCATGACCTTAATTGGCTTCTTCTTGAGCCACTCCTTTGTTGCCTTGGCAGTATATTTTGGGTTATTGTCATGCTGGAAGGCCCATCCACGACCCATCTTCAGTGTTCTGGAATAGGGAAGAAGGTTCTGATAAAAGATTTTACAATACATGGCCCCATCCATTGGCCCCTCAATGTGGCAAAGTCGGCCTGTATCTTCAGCAGAGAAACAGCCCTAAAGCATAATGTTTCCATTTCCATGCTTGACTGTAGGGATGGTGTTCTTAGGTTCACAGTCAGCATGTTTCTTCCTCCAAACATGGCAAGTTGACTTAATGCCAAAGAGCTCATCTGACCACAGCACTTTTTCCTAATCCTTCTCTAAATCATTTAGATGTTCACTGGCAAACTTCAGATGGGCCTGTACATGTGCCTTCTTGAGGAGGCGGACCTTGCGGATGTTGCAGGATTTCAATCCATGGCGACATATTGTGTTACCAATGGTTTGTTTGGTGACTGTGGTCCCAACTGCCTTGAGATCATTCACAAGCTCCTCTCGTGTAGTTCTGGTCTGTTCCCTCATTTTTCTCATGATCATTCTTACCCAATGAGGCAAAACCTTGCATGGAGCTCCAGACAGAGGGCGAATGATGGTTTTTCTGTATTTCTTCCATTTGCAAATAATCGCTCCAACATTTGTTTCCTTCTCATCAAGCTTCTTGATGATGGCATTGTAGCCCATTCCAGCCTTGTTCAGGTCTACAATCTTGTCCCTGATGTCCTATGACAGCTCTTTGGTCTTGCTCATGGTGGTAAGGTTTGAATGGAAGAAAGATTCTGTGGACAGGTGTTTTTTATACATTTAACAAGTTGTTAGGAGCAACTTCTTAAATTGACAGGACTAACCTGTGTACCATAGGAGCACATAGCCAGTCTGTGGGAGCCAGAATTTTTGCTGGTTGATAAGGGGATCAAATACTTATTTTACTCACTGAACTGCAACTCAATTTATAACATTTGGATCATGTGTTTTTTCTGGATTTTCGGTTGATATTCTGTCTCTATCATTTAAAATACGCATATGATAAAAATTATAGACACTTATATTGTAAGTGGGCAAACTTACAAAATCTGCAGGGGATAAAATAAATATTTTCCCCACTGTATACATTCATATACATAGGGAAGCATTTTTCTTGAGCTTTTCAGGCGTTTTTCTTTAATGCAAAAACACTTCAAAATCTCCTCAGTGTGAAAGAAGCCTAAAAAAGAAAATAATTCAGCCACCACATATCTAAGGACTGTTAATCTGCAATATATTACATTTTGTTCTTGAGTTTTTAACTGGCACTCCAGCCAAAACCCTTTTTTCCTTAATTTGGATATACCAGAAGCGTCTGTCAGTTTTGTTTGTTTGTTGTCAGCGTTAAAGAGATTTTGGAATTAACTTTTCTACTTTAAACAACTAGCTGTGATTTCTATAAATGCCAAAAAATATTTTTGTTTCTTTCTTTAGATAGCAGCTGTATTCACTTGTAGACCAAAATTTCTAGAACTCCCCACCCCATCAAAAGTTTCCTATCACTAGAACTGTTTACATGCATATTGTTAAAGCAAATAAAATCTCAGCACTAAGAGAAATTTCAGCAAAAGCATTGGAAAGTCTTCCCTTATTATTTACAAGACAGAAGCAGGTAAGAATCTTCAAAAAATGTTGTTGAAATATTTGCAATGTACATACTGTAGTAGACCTAAAGCTTTTTTTTCTTTTTAAGGACTTACCCTTGAATAGTCTATTCTGTGCCGTGATGCATAGACAGTACTGGGAGTTTTAGGATGTGAATTCACATCATCTTCCTCTGTGTCTAAATCCGTATCCAACTCCTCTACTTCTTTCTCACACAATGCTGGCTGTTCTCCAAAGACAGGAGACTGGGGGATTTCACTGTCCCGCTATAAAAAAAAAAAAAAAAACACATTTTGAATGTCAAGTTACCTTTCTTTTTTTAATTAAAAAAGAGATTTTATTATGAATTTTGCATAACGTATATAACAATAAACAGTTTTTGTAAAAGAACAAAGTTGCCTCTAGTCATTCATATAGGCACATCATTATTGTACAGCAAGTTATAGTTATTAATATACAGGATTAATATAGCGCCAACAGTGTGCATAGCGCTGTACAAAATGAAGGTAGACATTACAGTTACAATACAATTTGGTACAAGAGGAAACAGAGCCCTGCTCAGTACAGTTTACAATTTCGGAGATGCAAGATAAGCAAGGCTTGTACAGTACATAGTGCTAAACATGAGGCGTTTACAAGAGAAGTCATGTTATCAAAGACTTCATCCGTAACAGTTGAGTCATGAATAGCATGTCAGTTTGTGTAATGGCATTGAAATATTTATAACCTGTTTGCATTCTAACATGGATGGAGAGTGTTTTCTCTTCCAAGTCAGGACTATTTTCTTTCTAACATAAATATACAATATATGTAGTACATACAGTACTAAGTATTTATCATTATCTTAAAAAGCCACCTATGATGCCAAGAAGGCAATTCTTTCAGATAGGGATGTTAAAGAGATTCAAAGTTACTTCAAAAGAGGTATTAACCTTTGTTCAGAACTGTACATATCTACAATTCCAAAGAGCTTGTACAAAGTTGGCCTCTTTTCCACAATCCCTAAAATACATTTTTGGTCAGGGTTTGTCAGCTGGGGTTCCATGGAACCCTAATGATCCTCTAGAGGTTTCTAGGTATTCCTTGAGCAATTTCTACCTACCAAATAGGTTCCCACTGACACCATTGTTCTTCAGCTAGCTATCTGTGAGGAGGTAATTAATCAAAATGTCCAAAAGTAAAAGGAGCATTCTTCCCACTGAATATAACACTAATGTATCATGAGTTGTAGATATAGAAATTTTTAGCAGGGGTTCCCCACACCCAGAAAGTTATTTCAAGGGTTCCTCTGTGTTGAAAAGGTTGAGAAAGGCTGTGTTAGAGGTTTTGAAGGCCAAGTTTAAAATTTTAACTGGAGTATAATAGACCCGGTTAAAGAGTTTCAGCTAAATTACCTGGTTTTTAGAGGATATTAGTACAGTCATGTAGGTGAATTCGAATTCTGCCTACTAAGTCAGAGAGTGGCATCACCTGACTCTACCATTTCTCTCTTGTTCTATTGTATTTAGAGGTGCGTTACTTAAAAAGAGTCGATTAGTATTTGGAGATTAGTTTTGTTTGATCTGTTCGTCTGAGCAAGTGTTGGTACTCAAAGGCACCATTGTTTAAACCAAATTGCATAAGATTCGCATGTCTCAGTTGGAGCATACAGAAAGTCCAAAGTCTACCTGGAATTGTTGGAGTGAACTCAATTTCATAAAGTGAATACATTTGTCAGGGATCTCAAGCCGGATCGTGGCGTGTGGGTCTGCGCATGCGCGATGTGCCAAGGCACACTGGCGTGCGGGTACTAGGACCTGGGCATCCGCGACGGCAGCGGCGCTTGCGATTGCGGACACGCGCCTGGCACCAATAGGAGCGTAGGGCTCCCTATTTAAATGGACTGACAGTGCTTAGTTGCCGTATGGTCTTTCCTGTGTTCTGTGAGTTTACTTTGCTGCTGACCCTGCCTGATCCTGATCTGCTGACTTCTTCTGCTCTGACCCCTGGCTTGCCTGACCATTCTCCTGCCTGCTCCTGCACCTTTGATCCCCTGTTGCCGAACCTGGACTGTGACCCGTTTATTCTTCTGCCTGCCGTTTGTACCGACCTGCTCCGCTGTTACCGACCCCGGCCTGTCTGACCTCGCTTACTCTGCCTCCTCACATCAGACTCTCACCTGCTGCGTACCACCGACAGGTGCCTCTACCACGGCTGGCTGCATCCAGGGGTCGCGACCTGGTCTCGGCTTGCTCCAAGTCCATCCCCACCATCAGGGGCTCTGGTGAACAAGCAAGTCGGGACTTCCGTGCCCTGGGGAATTCTGGTCTGTGGAACGCTAGAGGCTACCACCGGTTGGTCCCTAACAGAACCATACGGCCATGATGGAGTCTGGAGGAGGACCTTCTCCCGGGGAGGAAATGTGCCATCATCTGTCAGCGCTTACCCAAGCCGTCAAGACGCTGGAAGAAGGTTATAAGCATTTGGAGGGACGTGTTCAGGCCCTAGTGGCACCTACGGTCACAGCATCAGACCTGGTCAGTTCACCTCCTACTAGTAGCCCTGCAGGACCCTCCGCTGGAGCAGTGTTCTCCATTCCCCCGCCGGAACCGCGAGTCCCAATGCCCGAGCGGTTCCATAGGGATCGAGGGAAGTTTTGGGCCTTCCTGAACTCCTGCCAGCTCTACTTCGACCTCCAACCTCAAACGTTTGCATCCAAATCTGTGAAGGTGGTATTTGTAATATCCCTACTGCAGGGTGAACCCCAGGCCTGGGCACATCGTCTATTAGAGGCTCGCCATCCGTACGTGAACTCTGTGGCAGAATTCTTCAAAGCGATGGCACAACTATATGACGATCCTCAGCGAGCTGCTTCATCCGAAGCAGCCCTACATTCTCTGCAGCAGGGACGCCGGGCAGCAGAAGATTATGCCTTGGAATTCAGGTGATGGTGTGGAAAAACACAGTGGAATGATGTGGCACTGCGCCCTCAGTTCCGCCTAGGATTGTCCGAGCCCCTTTAAAGTTGAATTGGCAAGGGTAGGTGTGCCTTATTCTTTGGAAAAACTAATCACCTTGGCTATTCAGATTGACCGTAGGTTACGGGAATGAAGGCAGGAAAGGTCCGGTCAAGGGTCAAGGCCAACATAGATGTTGCCACGTGTTCCTATCCCATCGCATCCTGCAGTCAGTAATCTGAATCCTGAACCAGCTGACGAAACAGAGCCCATGCAACTTGGGTTAATGCGGCCATCTCTCACGGCTGAGGAACGCCAAAGATGCAGAGTGAATAATCTATGTCTGTACTGCGGAGTTGCGGGTCACATGGTGTGTTCCTGTCCTGAGAAACTCTGTAAGTACTCTACCATTTTTTCTATGTCTCCAATCTGTGTAGATGATCCTACTCATGTAGTCGTGCCAATCTCGTTCCAGCTCCCAGGAAGAACCATGCAGGTAACGGCTATTATTGATTCAGGGGCCTGCAGTTGCTTTGTGGACCTTAACTTTGCAGCTCAGCAACGGAGTCCATTACTGTCCAAAGAGCAAGGCTTGAATATTTTCCTGGCTGACGGTTCCCGAATTAAATCAGGGTTGGTAGATCGGGAGACTCCTCCTTTATGCACCACAGTAGCAGGCCCCCACCAGGAACTCCTCCGCTTGGACGCCATTGCGTCCCCTCTATTTCCGGTAATTTTCGGGCTCCCGTGGCAAGGGGCTCATGATCCCCAAATTAACTGGAAAACTGGATCTGTTCAGTTTCACTCACTATACTGCCAGGAGCACTGCCTCCTAAAGTCATCACTAGGCCCCCCAACCTTGTTGTGTGTGAATACAGATACAGATCTAGCACAAACGGTGCCTCCCACCTACCATCATTTCCTTGACGTGTTCAGCCCGCGAAGTGCAGATATTCTCCCTCCACACCGGGCCTATGACTGCCCCATTGACCTGCTCCCGGGATCTGAGATCCCCTTTGGCCGAATCTTCCCGCTGTCGGAACGTGAGTTGGGTGCCTTAAAGGAGTATATTGATGACAGTCTGCGGAAGGGATTTATTTGCCCCTCCACTTCACCAGCTGTAGAAAGCAAGAACCAGTCCCTGAGGCCCTGCGTGGATTATAGGGACCTGAATAAAATCACCGTGAAGAATCGGTACCCCCTTCCCTTAGTCCCTGAACTATTTCAGAGACTAAAAACGACCTCTATTTTTACTAAACTAGACCTCAGGGGAGCCTATAATCTGGTTCGCATACGGGAGGGGGATGAGTGGAAGACCGCTTTTTGCACACGATCCGGGCACTTTGAGTACCTAGTTATGCCATTCGGTCTCTGTAACGCATCGGCCACATTCCAACATTTTGTGAATAACATTTTCAGGGACATCCTGGACATCTATGTGATTGTGTATTTGGATGACATCCTGATTTTTTTCTTGTCCCTGGAGACACATAGGGGTCACGTCAGGAGTGTACTGGAGCGACTGCGCAAGCATGGGCTGTATGCTAAAGCTGAGAAATGCAGCTTTGAGCAGCGCAGTATCCCTTTTTTGTGGTTGATCATTTCAACCAATGGTGTTGCGATGGACCCCCAAAAGATATCTTCAATTTTAGAATGGCCAGTTCCCACGGATAAAAAAGGGTTCCAGCAATTTATTGGCTTCGACAATTTTTACAGAAAATTTATTAAGAATTTCTCGGGCCTGGTAACTCCCATCACTCAACTTACTAAGGTGGGGGTGCATTTCCGATGGACACCTGAGGCACAGGCCGCCTTTGAATCTTTGAAAAAACTGTTCACGGCAGCCTCCATTTTGAGTCACCCTGACGCCTCATTGCCCTACATTCTGGATGTAGATGCTTTGGAAGATGCAGTAGGAGCTATTCTGTCGCAAAGGGTAGGAGTAAAGGAGCTGATGCACCCAGAAGCTTTCTTTTCTAGAAAACTCTCCCCATCAGGAAGAAATTACGATATCGGGGATCGGGAGTTAGCGATTAAGACAGCACTGGAGGAATGGAGATATCTATTGGAAGGAGCATTGCATCCCATCCTGGTCTATACCGACCATAAAAATCTGGAATATCTGAGGACAGCAAAACGCCTCAGGCCGCAGGCCGAGATTTACTCTGCACATCACTTATCAACCCGGGTCTAAAAATACTAAGCCAAATGCTCTCTCCCGGATGTTTGAGGACCCTGGGGAGACAGCCAAACCTGATACCATTCTGCCGGCGGGTAGCTTTTTGCTACTTCAGTCCGAACTCCTAACCAGACTACAGGCTGCTTCCACGAGGAC